GGTCCAGGTGGTTGAATATCAGAGTGTTCCATCTCATTCCCCTTTGGGGTTGCTGTAGGTGATCTGGAAGTCTGGTTTTGAAACTTATTTACGTGTCTTCTCATTTCAGCCCGGGGAGGGGGGATGGTGCTGTTGGCACCCATGAGGCTCACCTCATCTGAGCTGCCAGAGGTCAGACAGTGCCCCAAAAGCCCCTTCCTCTGGGCTGGGAGTGGTGGGCTTGATGGTCTATTCTTAATGATTTAATTGTTATAAGAAGTCTATATTAGTCAAAATGCTAGGCTACTATACCAAAATATCATAGACTTAAAAAACAGAAAGTTATTTTCTTGCAGTTCTGGAAGCTGAAAGTCTGAGATCGGGTGATAACATGGTAAGGTCCTATTGAGTGTCTTGTTGATGTTTGGCTTCTCTGTGTCCTCATATGGCAGAGAAAGAGTGCGGGAGGGAGGGAAACAGATCTCCTTCCTTTTATAAGACCAAGGTCCTGTGAGATTGGGGCCCTACCTTATAATGCCATTTAACTTTAATTACCTCCTAAAGACATTCTGGGGAGGAAACACAATTTAGTCCACAGCAGAGGCCTGTAGAAATCACTGAATGATTTTTATCAGTAAGATGACATGATCACGTTTGACAAGACAACCTTAGATGCAGTGTAGAGAATGGACAGAAAAAGTGCAAAAGCAGACATGAAGTCTATTTATGAAGTCTTTGCAATGGTGTAGTTCAATTCAAACTGACGTTGCCAGACTTGGTGGTCCATTCCTGTAATGCCAGGTACTTGGGAGGATGGCTAAAGTGGGAGGATCAAAAGTTTGAGGGGAGCCTGGGTAATTTAGAAAGAGCTTATCTCAAAATAAAAAATGAAACAGGCTGAGGATATGCTCAGCCTTCCTTGGGCTCAATGTCCAGGAACACCCCCTACCCTCCACAGTTCTGATTGAGCTTACTGTAACGCTATGAAAAAGTAGAGTGATTTAGGCTTATATAGGAGGTCTAGAATTATATATAGAAAAATTTGATCTGAGTGCAAAAGAAAAAAGGAATTACAAAAAAGAAAAATTGAGCTGATACAGCAGTTTGCTTGCTATGAGCATGAAGTTCTAAGCTGTACCAGTAATGGTGCTCAGGTTTCTAGACTGTTGAACTGAATGAGTGATGAAGCCATTCACAGAGACAATGAAAACGACAGAGGATTAAGTGTGGGCCGCAGATCACAAGCTCCATTTGGTACCTGGTATATTTTAAGTATTTTTGAGACATTAAATATTTAACACTTTTAAACAATAATGATTATTTTTGTCGGAGATGAATACCAAATGCTGTCTAAACACTGGTGCCTTAACACAATGAAAGTTCCAATTCTTTGAAATGACAGAGAAGAAGAGATAACCAATAGCTTAATGGCCCTAAGAAAACATAGGTGAAAGGATTGGCACTAGATGGAAGTGTAAACAACTTCCCTCTCCTTCTCAATAGGAAGCTGCCTGATATGAGGCACCTTCCTATAGACACTTTGTATTTAGCATTTCAAATAAGAACTCAGTTATATTTCCCCCAAAACATGCTCTTGAATTGCTGTATTAGTCTGTTTTGCATTACCTCAAGGAAACACCTGAGACAGGCTTCTCATGAAGTAAAGAGAAGTTTATTTTGTCTGATGGTTCCAGAGGTTCAAGACCAAGATTGGGCAGCCGCATTGGTTTGGGCCTCTGGTAATGTTGGCACATCATGAGGAGAGTGTGTGGCAGAGCAAACTACTGACATCTAGAGGCAGGAAGCAGCCAGAGACTGAGACAGGATTTCCACAATCCCATTTGAGGGTGCACCTTTACCTTCACCTAAGGGTCTCCTGCTAGGCTCCACATCTTAAAGGTCCCCCATGGCCCAACAGTGCCATCCCAGGAAACAAGCTTTCATACTTGGACCTCTGGGGATCACTACCGATATGCAAATCATTGTATTTGCATGTTATTAATTGTTACTCTCTCCCTGTTTAATAATGAAATTTCATCTTATTTCTGCACCTTACTCCCCAAATCTATTCTATTACCAATTTTTATTGATGTTTGAATCAAGGCCTTCCTGCTAGTTCCATTGTCAATAAAGGAATGTGTATTTTTATTACTATGTCAAATGTCACTTCCTTCTTGAAGCTTTCCTAATTTGTCCCAGCAAATAAATTTTTATATATTTCACAGTATTAAAAGAAAAAGAAGGCCGGGGATTTAGCTCAGGGGAGCTGCCGCCTGCCTCGAAAGCTCAAGGTCTTGAGTTCGAGCTCCGGTACCAAAAAAAAAAATTATTACTTTATATCATGTTTTGAATCTTATGATAGTGTCCCATTACTCAAAATATTCCATGCTTTCTAATTCTTAATGAGAACTTTTATTTTCTTTTATTATTATTATTTAAAAAGTGTTCCAAATAATTACTTGCCCAACATATAACCGCGAATTGCCAAACCAACCTAAATTTACCACTTTCACCAAATCAGTCTAGTGAATTGTCTGATATTTAGAAACAATAAATTTGGGAGGAGGGGACCAGACTTCTTCCCAATTCTGGGTCATTCTACTTGTGTGGTGGACTTTCCTGTCATACAAATTTCCGAACCTGGATAGATTATTATTTCCCAGAATCAAGCCACCCTTTGAGCCACTGCCTTAACCTGAAAAAGTTGGTAAAGCAGCAATAAGATAACCAGGCTCTGGTTAGCACTTGAGATTTGCTCTGATGTAAGACTTGCTTCCAATGTAACATTTTGGTTGTCTACAACTTCCTAGTTCTTAAAACACTTGGGAAGGCCAGTTTACCTTCGTTCTTTCCAAACTTTACTGAATTTCAACGAAATCTGTAATTTTTACTAGGAGGTCGAGCAGCCAATTGCATATGGTCTGGAATGGTTTCCCCAATCCTTTCACTTATTTTGGTCTTACTGCCCACAAGGAGGAAAGCTGGTAAAATCCGTTTGGATCGGCAGTTTGAGAAGCAGGGGCAATTCTTTTCAGTTGCATTGTCTCCTCCCACTTGCACATACATCCTAGGTTTCTGGAGACAGCTTTCGCCAGCTCCCGAAGCACCTGGTCGGCTCATCTAGCCCCACAAGCCACGAGCCCCGGTCCTCCTGGAGCTGTGAAGCCAGCTGGAAGCACCGCCCACCTCCACTCCTCTTAAGCGTGGGGTCCACGGCCCGCCTCCGTCGCGAGGCTACCTCCAGCCCCTCGCGCCCTGGCCCCGCCCCCTACAGCTCCCTAACGTCCTCGGCGGCCTGCCCGAGCCTGCGCCTGCGCCTGCGCCCTGAGGCCGAAGTTGGGGCGCGCCTTGGCTGGAACGGGGAGAGCGGCGGGCAGTGCAGCCAATGGGAGGCGGCGCTGCCTAGCGGCTGGGAGGCGGGGCCTGCGCGGGTGTTAGGTTAGCGCGAGGCGTGACCTAGTTGACAGGCTCTGAGGTGCTGCTGTGGCGGCGGCCGCCGGGTTGAGGCGGGTAGGAGCCGTAAGCCCAGCGCGGGCTGAGGGAGGAGGGCGGTGACTGAAGAGCGGCAAGCAGCGCGGGACGCAGAGCCTCTTTCACTTTTTCCCTTCCGAGTGCCCCCCTCTCATCTCTCGCACTCCACACACACCCTGTTTGCCCGTGAGCCTGGGGAACTTGCAGCTTAAAGCCAGCCACCCCCACGGCAACATGTACCCCAGCAACAAGAAGAAAAAGGTGTGGAGAGAGGAGAAAGGTAACCGGCCCATCGGTTCCCGGGGCGCGGGTGGGGGGGGGCTGGGGGGGGGTCCCTCTGACCGGTGCCGCCTCCTCCCGTGTCCGTGTGTACACTCGGGCACACGCTCGCACGCCGGCGGGCACGCGCGCCCTCACCTGTCGCTCGCTCCCGCGCGGCCCCTCTCTGCCCCCGCCGCTCCCAGCCACCTGGGAAGGTGACTGGGACAAGTTGCTGGGGACTGCGGCTAGGCGTCCCACGTAGGCAGACGCTGGGTCTCAATCGTGCCTTCTCCTCCTCTGTCCTCTGTCCCAGCCTGGCCAGGGATCCCCACCGTCGCGTGTTTTCCCCTTCCTACGGGTGTCAGGCACCCTGGTCTTCGGAAGCAGAGTGACTTTTGACATCTGGAACTCTAGGGGAAATCTAAACCGAGCATCTTGTCCACTAGCATAAGTGCCCGCGGAGAAGTGTGACTGGGCTTTTCTCTAGGCAGTGTCTTTCTCTGTATTGCATCCTCATTCATAGTCTGAAGTTGCCCAGAGTAAGATTGTGTGTCACTGTGAATGAACCCATCCCTGAATGTTTTGCTTAGCAAGGCTTAGCCAAATCAGTTAGATTGACAGTGGCACTGATTCCTCCAAGAAGCAGAACTGTCTGATTCAGTCTCCTCCTTCAGTCACTCTCTTTTTCAGTAATCATAGGTAATATTCTTATGTAAAACTTGAGTCTGGCATTTTTCCCCTTTTTTACATCTCTTTTCATTCTTTACCCCTTTTTGCGTAAGTGTAGGAAAAAGTGCTTCCTGCATCGCTACTGGTAAGATACTCTTGATATACACTACACTAATATATCAAGGGTGAGTGAGGTCCAGTAAGGGTAGTAGAACTTTATCCTGGATATCTCATCTTTACAGAAGAAGGATAAAAGGATGACTAGGTTGAAATTGATTTCCCTGATAATACCTCTTTAAAACCTGTAGATTTTTATTACAAATCTTGGCCTTTATGAACATGAGGACTCAACAGTGGAGGTAAGAAAAGGAATGAAGTGTCCTATCTCTATAGGACCTACTTCCAACAATGCACGACAAAGGGGCAAGGAGGGAATTTTTTTTCCAGTATTAGAAAGATTTAACATAACAATATAAAGTGGTCTTTAAAATATTGAATGATTAAGTTTGTCTCATTTAATCGTTTTAATGATTATGAGCATATAGAGAGCTAAACATACTGTCACAAAACAAATGCTGTTGAGACTAAGAGCCGGATATATAGTGTAAAATAGTTTTGCTTCATTTTTGGAGTAGCAGTTACTTTAATTTCAACATACATTCAACAAAGATTTACTTTGTGAGCATGGAAAAATCATTTATGCTCATTTTTATTGATGATTTTGAAATATAAGCATTGTATTATTGATAATGAGGGCAAAATAGAGACATAGACATTGTTTTCAATAACATGAATCATTGATGAAATTACAGTGAGTACTTAAGAACTGTTTTTCTGTTATATTAGAAAAAGGGCTCCTAAAGTGACAGTATTTTAATGGTTTCTTTTATATCATGGAGGACTGTGGTAAGCAGGCATTTAAGAATCTTTTAATGTCTTTTTTCCTTCTATTTCTTCTAATGGACAAATATATCCAAATTAGTATTTTTTAAATAAAGAAGCAAATGTACAAAGAAAGCAGCTAAAGTAATTTTCCTATTCAAAACTAAGCTATTTTTGCATGACGTTTAAAGTTAAAGGGAAAGGTATGATTTGAAGACTTTAAGATAGATCTCATTATTTTATCACGGTGTTCATTTTTGGAAGATTTAAGTTATCATCTGTTACTCCACCAAAAAGGAGCAAAATTTTCTAGTACAAAAGAGAAGCTGATAGGAGGCATGGCCTTTTCCTTTTATCCCACTGGAAAGTTGATGGCATAGTATTTTTGCAGCTGTTATTTAAATCTAAAGGAAGGTTTACTCACTTCATTGAAATGTCAAGACATTCTAGGAACATATTTTTACTCAGTATACCATATAATAAGTAGTTCTGCTTGCTTATATGCTTGGTTGACAGAGAAAGGGTTCATTAGAAAGGTGAAGCGTTTTTTAAAGAAAAGTTTTATGTAATGCCAAAGAAACTATGTCTGTGGCCTTTACTGTTTCATTATTCAAACAAATACTGTACTCGAGTTATCAAGACCACAAATGTTAAATTGAGTCCTAATTCAGAGCCACATAATGCATATTTTCAAATATTGCTACTTATTGTTTTTAGTTTTTTGTAATTGATTTTACTTTCATTCTGTCTTTACACTTAAACTTTTAAATAAATGACAGAAGCCAGGATTCATTTCTATACGTACTATCTGACATTTACAAATACTTTTAAGTTGCTTTGTGTCTTTTAACATGATTGCTAATCTTGTAATAATTCCTTATCAGTGGTCTGAACTTTTAAAGTAGTAGTTTAAAAACTGATGGTAATCTTTTTTCACTTTCATGTGGTAATTCCAATTTTGGAATTCCCTACAAATGAACAGATGATATTGCCTTTTTAATTCACAGAGAATGTAAATGCCATATACTATGAATAGCCCTAGCGTTCTTTTCAATGGTCTCACTGGTTTGTTTATATGTCCTTTAGGTTTTGTTCCTGTCTTAGAGGAAGCACTTTTCTTTGTTTCTAAGATTAACCCCCCTGCTTGCTCCCTTTATCCCATTTTCTATATTTGAGATCATGTGCCATCATTGATTCATTCCTGGGTATGTTTAATTTCTCAGTGTCTTTGGGATCCTCTCCACTGCCTATAATACATTCAAGTGTCTTCTATCTTGTAAGTAGGTTTTCTTCTACAAGTTTGCTTGTAGTTTGCTGCTTTCATTTTTCTTTTGCAAAGTCCCAGTGTGAGCTTTTTGTTGCTATGACAAAACACCCGAGAATAACAAGTTAAAGAAAAAAAGGTTTATTTTGGTTCATGATTTCAAAAGTTTCAGTCCATGGTTGGCTAGGTTCATTGTTGTGGGTCTGTGGTAAGGCAAAATATTGTGGCAGAGAGTATGTAGTGGAGCAGAGTAGCTCACCTTATGCTAAACAGAAGGCAGAAAGAGGAGAGTGAGGGACAAGAAGAATCCAGGAACAACAGATGCCTTTCCAAGGCACTCCCCTTCCCATGACCTCCTTCAACTAGACTCCACCTCCTAAAAGCCCATTCAGCTGTGAACTCACCAGTGAATTATTCATTGATGAAGTTAGCACCTGCTCTAGGCCCCACTTTTGAGCATTGCTCCATTGGGGTCAAGCTGCCAATACATGAGTCATTAGGGGACACTTCATATTTAAACCATAATAGCTCCTCCCAGTTTCCTGGATTTCATTTATATCTGAATGAAAGTTCTTAAAGTCATTTAGTATTAACAGTGACAGTTGTACTAATATAAGAATCATTATATTTAGATCAGTTTGTGGACTTAGCACTCTTGTTAGTGCCTTACATGGGTTATCTCATATGGTTCTCACAAACAGTTCTGTGAGATAGAAAAGTGTGGGAGGTAGTAGTTTACTGTAAGATTGAGAGCTTTGAACATAGTCGCCCAGATGTAAATCCTAGCTATATTTACTATGAGACCTTAGATAACTATTTGAACTCTGCTTTAATTGCTTCATCTGTTAAGTTGGGAATAATACCTACCTGCTTATGTCAAAAAAACCTGAAACATAGAGATTGCACAGATTTCATAATGATTTATATTAGAACCCAAACATCTCTGTTAACCAATTTTCTCTCTTTTCAGTGCTGTTGGCAACCCGGTTGATAAAAGCCATGACTTTTATAATACAATTTTTATTCTTCCCCATCTTCCTGTAGCAGTTGACAGCATTTTCCTCCTACATATTAAAACTCTTTTCCCTGATGTTTTCCACATCACAGGGACCTTTAACTCCATTGGCAACCAGGTTCTATTTCATTGCTCTCCTATTTGTGCCTCCTACCTAAAGTTTTTTCAGTTCAGTTAACATCTGCTTTTCCTCTCCTCTCTTCCCTCCTTTATTTTTCTAGGCCCAAAAGAGTAGGTTCTAATTTCCAAAATCTTTAGGCTAAATGTTTCTCCTAAATTCTAGATTCATGATTTACTTCTTGAATGTCTTAAAGGTAAACTCAGTTTGTTGACCCTTGAGTAATGTGACTTGAATATGTTAAATCCATGCATCTGAACTGTGTACTTTGTAATATATTGAAAGAGCATTGGAGAGTATAAGAATATGATCGTCAATCTGTACATTGTGGACATCTTTAGTAAAATATGTGATACATGACAACTGACATAAACTTGAGTAAACATGCTAGTGACAGATTATATGTTGAATAGTAATGAATCTTAAGTTCTTCCTTGTTTATTAGGTTAAAAAATAAACAGAATTTCTTACATTTTTTCTGCATCCTAGTGGATAATTTTATGTACCAACTGGGATATGCATGATTAACTTTGAATATTAGTGGTGGAGTTTTAAGAGTAAAGGTTAAATTGCTCAGCATATAAGGCATATAAGGCTGTTTGTATCATTGAAAGCTCTAAAAGGTTCACCATCACTGTGCCTATTCAGTTTTCTTTTACTTTATTTTCACCTATTTTTCACTCTTATGGCTACTCCTAATAGCATATCTTGTAGTTTCATTAAACTTATTTGCGTCACTTTATTTTTGTTAACATTGTTATGTTAGTTGAAATGTCCTTACTTTTTAAACTGTTCATGTGAAATTCTACCTGTTCTTTGTGAGTCAGCTTACTTATTACCTTTCTGGGGAGCTCTTCCTGAGAACATAGTACAGTATTAATAGCATCAGCTGTAGTCTCTGATTAATGGAGGTATCTGTCTGGATTTTAATTTTGGCTTATTTGGAAGTTCCTAGTTTTGGGCAAACCCCTTAATTTTGGTATGCTTTATTTCTTTAGGTACAAAGTAGGAGTAATCTATCAACTTTATAAGTTGTAATTATTTAAATGATATAATACACATGAAGTACTGATGAGTAGTGAGTTCTTTATAAATGACACCCACTGTTTTTTTTTTTTTTTTTTGTGGTACCGGGGATTGAACTCAGGACCTTATGCTTGTGAGGTAGGCATGGTACTGCTGAGCTAAATCCCCAGCCTGACACCCACTGCTATTAATTCTAACATGCAATTCTTATTTTAATTTTATAATCACCTCTACAAAATTATTACTCAATTGAAAGTGTACTTTCGTTATTGATCGTCTTGTTGAAGTAAGGAAATACCTTGGTAGCTGCCTGTCTTGTGCTTTCTCTATTTGTGTAATATCTGTCTTAGCATTTTTGATTTTATTTATGTCAATATTATTTTGTATCTTATCCATTTCCTCTTGTCCTGTGAACTTAGTTTAGGTAATGATAACCTTTGTTTCTGTAACCTATAAACATATCACCTGACACATAGTAGGTCATCAGTAGATATTGACTGGAAGAGTAAATGAATTTATTTCATGGCCTGTCACAGAGTGTCTTGCAGGCTTTGATTTTATTTTTCTAGCTAATATGGAATTAATTGAACATCTTTTAATACTCAAATATAAAATCATTGAATTTGTATTTTGGCATTTCTCAAGATTGTACCAAATCTTTGCTTAGCTTAACATGGCTAATATTTAAAGTGTAAAATAATTTCCAAGTTTAAAAGTTAAATACAAATGAAGATTCTGCTTTTATTTTGCAAGAACGTTTACTGAAGATGTCCTTAGAGGAGAGGCGCAAAGAATATGTAAGAGACTATATTGCCCTGAACACCATTCTGTCCTGGAAGGAGGAGATGAAGGGCAAGAGCCAAAATGATGGTAAGTCTTTCAGGATACTTTTTAGGTATCTACAGTTCTCATTTATTTATGGCCCCTGCTAGACATTTGTTGACAGAAATAAATAAATGGCATTCAAGTAAATGATGACATTTTTGTTATTTTTTAATTTGAAATTATTGTTTATCATTCAGGTTTTTCTTTATAGTCTATCATGTGCTTTTAACACTTAGGAATGTTTAACATACTTTGTGTTCTGAAATATACCACGTTTGTAATATGGTATTTTTTTACAGGTACATTTTCAGTTTCTAAAAGAACTATTCTGCAATAGTTCTTGGAGCAAATGCTATATGCTTTGATGGTGTGGCATTGCAAGTTTGCTTTGATTGTCATTTTTACTAGATTTCTTTATTTTAATAATTGCACACAGTTAAAAGAGAGTATATGAGGAAGAATAGAGAAAAACCAAGTAGTATTTCACATAATTTTAGAAACAAATATATATTTTGTATGGTATGGTATTGTGTATACATGTAAAATATTTGTGTGACAAAACTCTCAAAATCTTTATGGTTTGATGAGAGTCTAGATGATTAGAATAAAAATGAAATTTTAAATATTAAAAAGGTACATGAAAAAGTTTCTAAACACAGCCCAATACATTTAATGGATATGTAATATTTACCTCAGAATTAAGACTCGTTGTTAACAATCTGGATGTGAAGTTTAGACAAACAGGATTTTTTTTTAGGGTACTTAACAGTTGAAAAGGAATACTACTTTATGAAATGGACTTGGAGCACATTCATTTCTCAGCTTGTGATCTTAGATTGATAGAACTATGCAGGGTACAGAATACTTTGGGGCCAGAATGTGTAACAAGGATGAAATTGTTATGGACATAATCTGTGGGGAAAAATAGCCAAATTAGGCTTCGGTGCCTGAGAAGAGAACACATTTAGATTTTTTTTCTTTATTTTTTTTAGAAATGCAAAGCATACTAGTTGGGAGTGAAAATATGTAGGGCATTTTTAGACTTTATGCTGCCTGGTAGCATGTGTATCTTGGGCAAATGGGAGAGTGGCTTCACCCCAAGTTCCATAAGGTCATTGGACAAGTTAATTGGGACGTTTACATCTGACCTGTCTGCCCAGTGTCTTCAGTAAATGCAGCGTGTTTTAATAATGGTCTAATTAAGGTATTACTAAAAAAGAAAGAAGTGCCTTATAATGGAAAGAGTGCAAGGTTCTGGCCCTGGTTGACATGGGATTTTGGGGCCCTTCATATTTGAGTCTGTTATCTTTTCTTTTGTTTATAATCAAATGGTATTAAATACTTCAACTTCAGTTCCATTTTATTTCTGGCTTGTGAATCTCTGTCTTTCTAGTGCCCCATTCATCTCATTAGTTTTCTTGATTGCTGGTTTAGCTAGTCTTCTAAGGTTGAAGTACATGATGTGCTTTTTAGCAAAATTTGCCCCTTGAGATAGAGGCGGAATCTTGCTCCCACCAGAACAATTGACTAAGCAGTAGCCGACGCCAAGGCTGCTTTGCTGGATATTGAACTTGCTCATCTCCACACAGAAGCTTGGCCTTTCTAATAGCTACTTCTGTGTAAGGATTCAGTAAGTCAGTGTAAGATAGAGCAGCATGAGAAAACTCAGAGTTGTTTTCAGAGATAACACAAAGATGTGTCCTCCAAATTAGAAAATACACATTAGCAACTGACATGATTCTTCTCTAAGAAATGCTGTGTATTTAATCATATGTCTAAATATGAATTTTATAAGTGGCTAATATATTTCATTTCTTAAATGATTTCTTTGAACTTGAAAATTCTCCATGGGAAACTGGGTCATGTGATCAAAATTGTATTTCTATTAAACAATGTTTTATTCTTGTCTAGTATCTGAAATGTTACTTGCTCTTCTCTAGTATGACCTAGAAACTGGTGACCGGCCTCTTCCTTTTTCATGAAGTGGAGTGGCTTATTCTTTAAATAGTATTTGTGTTTTCTTTACATTATATACATCTTTAATCATTCAGTACTTAGTTGCAATAAAATATTGGTCAAGAATGTTTTAGTATTTTAACACATTAAAAGATATTTTTGGCTGAGAATATAGCTCAGTAGAGCACTTGGATAGCATGCTTAAGGTTCTGTCTTCAATCTCCAGCCCCCCCCCCCACTCGCGCAAATGATATTTAAAAATATAAATTCAGAGCCTGGTATGATGGGTTGTGTCCATACTCCTGACTACCTGGGAGACTAAGGCAAGTATATAGCTTGAGCCCAGGAGTTTGAGACCAGTTGGGGGTACATAGTAATATACTCTCTTAAGGAAAAAAAGATGTGTATATGCATATGTACACACATGTATATTTGTATAATTCACAAAAACTGATAAAGGACCAGTATAAGTATAGTTAAATTTTGTTTTGTCATTTAAAAATTTATATGTATATGAGCAGGTATGGATATTTATAAAAGTTTAATTTTTAATATTTAGGATTTCAGAGTAAGAGTTAAAATATATCTACTTATAATTCCTTGTCTCATAGTTTCTAATTTGTAGGAAATGAATACTACATTTTGGGGTAGGACAATGTGCTAATTTTAAACAGTAATTTTTTGTTTGTATTTTCTAGAATGTCATTTTGGTTTTAATATCGATGATTACATAGAAAATTCTTGAACCTTTGTTTTTAATTTTTTTCTTACTTTCTCATATTTCTTTTAATTGAATGTTTATTTTATTACAGAAAACAGATAAAAAAGGGGATGGCTAATATATTTTTGTAACAATTTTTATTGTACATCATTCTAAAGCAGACTAAAACCAAAAATTGCTGAACAACATAAAAATCAATGTTTGTGTGGAAAGGAGAAAGCAAGTAGATAATATTTTTTTACTTTGACTTTTGACTTGGCTAATATTGGAAATCTGTAGATCAGAAAATTTAAAAAATGCAAGGTAGCTGGGGTTTTAGCTCAGTGGTGCCATGTCTGCCTTGCAAGCGCAAGATCCTGAGTTGGATCCCTGGTACGAAAAAAAAAAGGAAGGCAATTATTCCCCTAATACCTCATTAAATATATCATATGCTTATTGCTTATACTCATATTTGTCAGTTATTAGTAAATCTCTGGAAGTATGTGAAATAATTGTATTTCCTCTGTCTGTTGCTGTGTTGTAGGAATTTTAAAATACTTCCTGTTACACTGTTTCTCTAGCACCTGATGTGGAGATGGGCTCAGTCATTATGTTAAATAAGAATGCTTCAGAGGTTAGTAGTCTACAAGGGATAATTCCTCCCACCTTGGATCATGGGCATTTAAAATGTATATATAAAAATAGAATAGTATAATAAACCTTTGTGCATTCATCGCCTAGTTTCAACACTTATTATGTGGCCAGTTTTATGTTACATGGCATTTATACTGGCACTCCCTGCCTCTTCCTCAGACTATTGTGAAACAGATCATGTGCCTCATGTAAGTTTTATCTATGAACATGTATGTGTCTATATATGTATCTTTAAAAGAGGGAGACATTTTTGTCTTCATATAAGCACAGTACTATTATCATATACACAATTAGTAATTCATTAGTACAGTGTAATTAACTAATTAGTAATTAGTTTAATTACTACAGTATATTTAACTATCCAATTAGTTTTCACATTTTTCCTCTTGCCACATAAAGGTTTTTTATATATAGTTGATTTGCTTGACTCATGATCTAAACAAGGTCCACATATTTAATCAATGGGTTTATAAGGTCACTTTAAATCTATAGTTAGTTGTTTCTGTCCTTTATTTCTCCTCTTATAATTTATTTGTTAAATACAGTAGGCTGTTTGTCTTGCAGAATATTTTACATTTTGGTTTTTGCTGATTGTACACTGGTGTCCTTTAACATGTTCCTCTGTCACCTATTTCTTTTCTTCCTTTTTATAAATTAAAATTTTTATTTGGGATAATTATAGATTAACATGTAGTTGTCAAAATAATACTCAGAGAGAGCGCCAGTATGTTCTTTACCCATTTTTCCTAAATACTAAAATCTTAGAAAACTATAGTGTATTATAACCAAGATATTGACATCGATATAATCAACATTTAGAACAATTCCATTATCACATGGATCCCTCATATTGCTTTTTTTGATGATTTAAAAATTTTAATTTACTTTTACTTAGTAGTACCTATTGATTTTACAAAATACTGGGTTTCAGTTTGCATACTGTATTTTGATTATATCCTCTCTTTTTCTTATGAGTTGGTAGTTAAATCCAGAGTCCTACTCAGATTAGTTTCATTTTTTTTGAGAGAATACTTTATAGGTGATTGTGTATTTTATTGCATTATATCACAAAGCACATAATATCTGAGTATTTTTCTATGGTGATAATATTCATTACTTGGTTCTAATATTGTCAGTGTGAGCTATTCATTACAAAGTTCCCTAACAGCTTTGTTACTTAACAGCAGCCATTGATGATTATTGCTTAGATCCGTTATTTTATTAGGGCTACAAAATAGTGTTATTTGAATTTTATCATTTCTTATTCATATAGTAGTTTTATTTCTTCTATAAAGAGCATTATTCTCTTGTCATCTCTTTTCTTATTGTACACTACAATACAGAAAAGGTAGATAAATGTTAGATTTCTGTTATTTACCAGTTTTCAGATTAAGTTGATTCCCTGATATCCTCCAAAGGTGGCCAGAGTTCTTTTTAATTTTTGACTATTATTTTCAGTCTCTTTTTCTCTGTCTCTTTCACTCTCCCCCACCCTTTTCCTTCTTCCTTTTTCTCACACATATGTGCAAGATCTAATCCGAAAATGCTTAAAAATGTTTAAATTCTGTTTAAATAAAAATTTATTACAGTAAAAGATACATTGACATTAATCTCCCTCAAACTATGCCCCCTCTCTTTGAAGACACCCTATCATTTTTGCCACTTTCCCAAGCAGTTCTGGAAGTCTTTTGATGACTATCTCTATGAGGTATGATCAAAAATATACTGAATGCTG